CTAACATTGTATTTTAGTTTTCTGAGAACGAAGCCGATTTTTCAAAGATCCTCTGGAAACCCGGTCTCTGGAATTTTTTCAAAAGTTGCTTCTGCTTGTGAAAAGTTCTGCTCAAGTCTTGGCTATTGAACAGCGAAAATCGCAGGTCTCTATCTCATTCCTATCAAAAGTTATTCAAAAAGTGGCACCCTGCACTGTATTTTGGTATGGATACTAGTTTTGACTGATCACCATACGTGTGGACAATTTAGCAAAGTGAACAATACTAAATTAGGATCTCCAGCCAATATTAAAAAATGCATAATTCCAGAAGCAAATGTCAGAGAGAGGTGAGGGATGGCTTATTTTGTAGAGGGCATCTAACTGTATATTGTAGCATATTTAATTAGAAAATCGAAAGTCTTAATAGAAGAGAGGGAGAGAAATACTCTTTAAAAAATTCAATTTTCAATTTGATCTTATTAGCGGATGGTAAAGAAAATTTTGTTTACTAACGTATAAGCAACAATCAATGAGTCTTTATAGTGGAAGTCACACCGCTAGCACATGGTTAATGCTTTGTATTTTGAAGCCTACAACTATGACTGGTACAATAATAGGGTTAGATTTCCGATCTTGTAATGTCGTGTGTGATGAGCCAGAAAAGCAACACTTTAAGACGACAAAAAACGTTTCTTCAATAAAACTCGAGCCGTCTTCTTTATTAATTATTTTTATATATAGTGATGTACCAAAATATCGGCTCTTTCGAATGGCGCTTGAATTGGCTCTCTAACATTAATAGTAAAAGAGATATACCAAAAGCAAAACTTTCTGTTTATTTTTCGACTCGGTACTGCATCAATATTCGCATGCAAAAAAGAGTGTAATACTAAGTGTTTAAACGATGCTCCGGGTATCATAATTTAACTGTGGTGCGTGTAAAACAGTCAGGTTGTGGGTGAATGTTCGTTTAAACCTCGGAATATGTCTCACAAAGAAACTATCCGACGTGCAAAACATTTTTCTTGAAGAACACTGTTTGAGTTTAACTTTTGAGATCAATCACGAAGCTAATATGACTACTTTCGTCTCTAGAGCTTTTGTGCTCGAATCTCTACAAATCCGTCATCAACGTCTATTCGAACAAAAATCTGATGCATCAAGTTGGCAGCGCAGGTCTCTATGCCCATATGAAACCTTTTGACGATAAACAAGTAGTCTTTCAGACTTTTATCAGTACACAAAGCGAAGAGTCCGGTATTTTCGGTAGTAAATGTTCCATATGTTAGTGAAGAATACTTGTTCATTGTCAAAAGATTTCACATGGGCACATCGACATGCGCTGCCAACTTGTTGTATCAGACTTTTATTCGAATAGAAGTTGGTGATGGATTTGTAGTGCAACGCTAAGTTCATGTGTTCGAATCTCCATTCATACAAAATTGATTTCGTGTTTTTCGATAGTTTTAGTTTAGAATATTATAATGGAATATTTTTCCGCTTGTATTCTGACAGAATAAAGCTTATATCAACCTTTTTTCCAGAGATTCGCGCAGCAGAGCTCTAGAGACAAAAGTGCTCATATTAGCTTCGTGATCGACGTCAAAAGTTTTACTCAATCAAGTGTACTTCAAGAAGAAATGGATTTTGCACGTCACAGATAGTTCTTTCGTCAGCCTAATCCATTTAAAAAATCGTAGGATTAGCCAGTAATGTTCGTTACCACTTCTCATAAGCTGCATTAACGAACGAACGGTTAGTGCACCAATATATCTTTACTATAAGTATGCTTACCACATCTGCCGTTGAATTACCGGATAGCCTGATCTATCGCTGTTTCATTTAGATAAGCCAAGTTATCTGCTAATACGTTCATTGGTTCGTCTGTTCGCATATATTCGTGCAGCATATGAAAACTCGTTTCTAAGCTTTTTGCGCAGTTTAAAAACATATTTACCAGCGACAATAGGTGATCGTTTATTACCGTTTATTGTTGATTACAGTAGTTTGATATTTGGCATGAACGAGGATGACCAAAATTCGGCACACGATATGATCGAGTATTATGTAGAAATTTATAAAACCACCGAGTATCCTGGTGTTACTTATTCGGCATTAGCAAGTACGGATGCAATTATCTTACGTCACGCACTTGATAAAACACCATGGTCAAATCCGTTTAAAACAATTCCCCATATTAAAGGTGATCCGATTCGCGCACGACTGGGATTCATTGAGTACATGAATCATTATTTATCAACGCCAATAATTCCAGAAAATGTGCTTTTGGCCATGATAAAATCAAATAAGTTAATAAAAGCCGTAGAAAAATTAATAAATCGATTTTCGAGAAATGCAGGTATATCGTACTATTACCGACCACCACTGTTATTATTATTTTTTTAGGTGTTATGTAGATATATTAGCAACTTCAATGTGTTACAGTTATCCGCAAGATCGATAAGTTATTTTGGAACATCAGACTATTCAGATAATAATGAACGTGTTATCAATCAAATCATTGATAAAATTAAACATCCACATAGTACTCTATGTAAACGCGTGCAACAAACAAGAGAACATAGTACACAAAGTATATTCATAAAAATACAGTCCAGTCGAGAACCTTCGAAAATAAAATCAGAAAAATACCTGCAAGAACAACCTGATTATAAAAAGAATTAAAGACACCACTGTAATACGCATAGCAAAAATGATAGAAACTTTAATACTTGTTTTACTCGTACAATGACAATTTTTTATACTGCTCGATCAGCTACAGTTCATGATTTTATTTATTTCGATTTTAAGACAGATCGAATCTTCAACTTTATGAGTCAATTCCATATTAGTTGCAATACATTATATTATCTCAATATTTTAAAACAATAAAGAAGGAAAAATAAGTTTGTTACTACTAGTAGTTACCAGTAAAGTAGTACTTCGTTACTTTCGTTACTCCAGCAGAAAGTAGCGAATTTTTCGTTATTTTCTGCTGAATTAACGAAAGTAACGAAGTAACTAAGTAACGACAGTAGTTACTCGTTACTCGTTGCTAGGAAAAATGTAACTAACTCACCATGACTGCTGCTGCTAGGCCTTCAAAGACCGGTTTTCTGAAAAAACAGTTTTTGAGAAACTCTAAAGAACAACCAAAAGCTTTTTAATGAAGCGTAATTGTAGTCTATACATTTCTGATTAAAACAAGGCATCTTCTAGCTCTACACGACCTTTCTTTGAAAAGTTATATAGTTTACAAGAAAAGCCCTAAATATTCATTGTCACCTCAGAGCTACAGAAAGAAAAAGGAAAAATAAATTTAGGGCTTTTCTTGTGGATTCTATAACTTTGCAAAGAAAGATCGTGTAGAGCTGGGAGATGCCTCATTTTAGTCAGAAATTTATGGACTACAATTACGCTTCATTAAAAAGCTTTTGGTTGTTCTTTAGAGTTTCTCGAAAACCGGTCTTTGAAGGCCTAGCAGCAGCACTCATGGTGGTATTCGGAATCAGCATCGTCGACTATCTATAGTCCATCAGATTTCGTTCAAAAAGCGATTTATCAGTTGGGGTACTTCCCCCGTAAGTTCGTTAGTAGTAACGGAGTAACTGACTAGTAAAGTTACCGAGTAACTAGAAAAGTGCCACCCCTACTGTGATAACAAACACATTTGGTTTTTCTGTGCACTGACATAACAGTTGATTTATCTCAGTAATTATTTATGCTAGAGAGCTGGGTCTAGAGTCGAAAGATTGACGAGTCTGATTTGACGAAAAGAAAATTTCTCTAGTTTTATCAGTTAGCGTAGGGTAAAACAATCTTTTGGAGAAAAATTCGACTTTCATACAATTTGTGCACTAACATTTTTACTTTTGTTTGCAGCATTCTACTATATACGCGTGATGGTTCGTCGTTCTACCCGTATCACAATAGCTTTTATAGTAAATTAGGACATGATTATTCTTCATTTATTTTAGTTTCGGGTTGGACTTACTTTTCTGAAACACTTTTTCTAACGTGAATATCTGACGGAACGGTTTACTCTTAGCCGAGAACAAACTACAGTTATTTCAGTCAGCTAACTGGATAACCAATGAAAGCGTAATTATTATCGGCGCCAAAATACGTTGCAGGTTGCTGTTTTTGAATAACTTTTGACAGAAGAAAGCTCGAGACTTTCGGTTTTCAGTAATCCAAAGTAGACATCTGAGACTAGATTTCCACAAGCAAAAATGACTTTTTAAACATATTTTGAAATCGGTTTTTTACCAGATCTTTTGAAAACCAGTTTGGATCTCTGACAACTAACAAAGAAATAGGTCGATCTTTCTTCATAGATAGATGATGCCTTCTCCAAAACAGAAACTAGGCAAACTCTTAGTTTTTTGTGGTTTAGGCGTGGCGTCGAATTGCCTGGGAGTCCCAGGAACAATATTTTTTTAGATGTGGTAATTCCGAAAACGAATGGAAACATAGGCAATCAACCACGCTGAATCTCGTGGCAACATCTATTTTTCAAAAACCTAGTGTAAACGTACATTTTTGTAGTAAAATTAAAAGATTCATAGCTCAGGCAAAATCCACCCAAATTATGTCAGAAAATCAAGATGTACTCTGTTTTACCTGCTCTATATACTTTTTACTTGAGAATAGCAAAAAACATTTTTGTACTTCAGCAGATTTCTAGAAAACCTTTTCAAAAAACCAAAGTATTTTAGGTTGACTTTTAAAGTTTTTATTGAACTGCAGATAAAACAGAGTACATCTTGATACTCTGACGTAATTTGGCTGGATTTTGCCTGAGCTATGAATCTTTTAATTTCACTACAAAAACGAATTATTTCACCTACTGTACGTTTATACTAGGTTTTTGAAACGTTTTTTGAAAAACAGATGTTGCCACAAGATTCAGCGTGGTTGATTGCCTATCTTTCTATTCGTTTTCGGAATTACCACATCTAAAGAAATATTGTTCCTGCGACTCTCAGGCAATCCGATGCCACGCCTAAAGCACAAAAACTAAGAGTTTGCCTAGTTTCTGTTCTGGAGAAGGCACTATCTACCAAGTTTCTTGTAAATTCGATTTTCTAGAATCTAGCTAGCTATCCTCAGGGAATTTATATATAGATTTTCCTAAAACCGCTGAGCATTTTCTATAAATAATTCCCGACATTACAGTGCAGAGAGTTATACACTTGTCAACTCCTTCTCGAGCAGCATACCAATGATGTCAAGTAGGTTATATCGAAAAGTTAGAGTCTTCTTATCAGTCTGACGACGTGAGGAGTGATAATAAAACTAAATATAAATGAGATTTTCAGAAGCCATACCAACGTAACATTTTTTCTATTCCGACTCCCAGATATGGTTTAATATACATTGCATATTATGCAAGTAGTAGGTATTCTAAATAGGTAGCTCGTGAAATCCTTAATCTATCATTGTGAAGTTTTGGGCGTAATATTTTTCCATTTTCTAGAAGATATTTACGAAAAATAATGCTATATTCAGAATCATATGATGATCGACAAGCAGTTTTATTGATACACAGTATACCACTCACTGTCAGGATATTACTACACAAAAAAAATTTATATTCAAACGTAATGTAAGATATGTCATTCGATGCAAAAGTCAACTCTGATTTTGAGTACAACATTTTTTTTACTAGGTCCGAAAAAGTTGTCATTTTTGTGTCGTTTTCCAACTATTTGACCCCGCCTGTACTTGATCAGAAAAAATCGGCCAAAATTTATAGTGCAAGGTTAAGAAATTGTTTAGCTATCGTTTGGATATATCTACGACCTGCGTTAAGCCTTATAGGTATCTAAGTTGATATCATTGGTGTTGCTGAAGACATATATTAATAAGTACAAGTACAGAAAAGTGCTTTAAAAGTCTGTTGGTATAAGTTATGTTTACATGCCATGTGAATACCACAGCCGATGCTTTTGCGATACTTTTGTCTGTTGTGTGCATTACATTAGAAAATTAGGTACTTTTGCCGTGCTGCACCAAATTAGATAAAAATTGGGCGCTATGTGCAAAATTTTTCAGTGAATCCGACTGCGGGTTCCTTATAATTATACTTTGACTTCTTTTCTGGTATCGACATAATCTAAGTGATTTTTGCCT